TTGGGGGGAAGTAAATGCTACACAAGTCATCTGCCCTTACTCAAGATGGCCATGGCCAGAAAAGCTAGGAGGTGTATTTCAAAGTGGTTTCTCAGCAAAATAAAGCATGGAGACATGGATGGATAGGGGAGTTTGCTTTGACTATTAAAAATAAATTAAGTAATGTTTTGGTTTGTGGTGCCCATATGCAGTGTAGTTCCGCTTGAATGCCATGTTTACCTGGAACAACAAACAGGGAAAGGAGCTTTCCCTGCCTACATATAAGCTCTGTCTGTGTAATATGTTTACTGCATTGAAAGAGAGAGACATGAGAGCTGTCTGCAGACATCCTGTATTCCAGGTACAATCTGGCAGTGAGTTTCTATATTTAAAACTGCCACCTTCCCTTTGTTGAATAGGTGAGGTAGCTGCATGGTTTCTATTTGACTGTGAAATAGAAACAGGTGTTAACAGTGCAGACAGACCAGAAACAGGTCTATCTGCTTTGTTCATGTGGTACACTTGCATCAATTGTGCTTTGTTATGTCCCCCCCCCCCCCATGTATTGTGCTGTGCTGCAGTGAAATGTAGCACGTGTGCACATTTTGAAGGTGTACTGGCATGCCATTCACAATGAAGGGAACCCCATCACATGCATTACTGCAACAGCCTGCTGTGAAAGAGTCCTTAAAAGGAGAAGCACAGCCAAAGCTCTTTTGGCTATACTTCTATGGATCACAGGAGCGCAGTTTATTCTGCGCTCCTCTGAACCACAGTCAGCTGATGTCACTTAGCTGGTGCAGGCTCAGGAAGTATCCCGACTTTACAGTTGGGATCCACCCAGATGCCTGGACTGGCAGCCTCTCCTGCCCCCTCCACAGCCCAATGCTCCAGTGAGCGCTGAAGGGCTAAGCAGGGAGCCAGTGGGAAAGGATTGGAAGGGAATCCCCCATCAACCAGGGGCTGAAGGAAAGAAAATTGCATTATGCAAAGGCTAGCCTAATGTAATATGTATGACAGTATGATACACGTGGACATGTCTTAAAGTGACCCAGTCACCAATCATAGAAAATGAAACTAAACCCAGCCTGGTGAGGAAGATGTGAGCTTTGTCGTAAATGTTTTTTGCGGTGTTGCAGATCTCCAGTAGTGAGGTACGTACAAATGGGAGGAACCACAGAGCATGAGAGGTGAGCAAATACCAAATGTGGCCTGAGATTTGCAACAAAGCAAAGGCTTTAACAGGATCCACTGGAAATATGAGTATACATCCTCTTAAACAGGCTTGCTGAAACAGTTTACATTGACAGGTCATAATTAACTATTTAACTCTTTCACTGTCCTGTATTCTCTTGCCTGTCAGGTGGAAACAGACGTGCCCCTTCCTCCCCCAGAATAAGCGGGGAGAGATGTATTTCAATGCAATCTGCATTGCAATACATCCAGTGGAGCCCAGAAAAGACATGCAGAGTCCTTTAGACCTTGCATGTCTCATTAAAGAGAGCCTGTCACCTAAAAATCATAACATAGAGGACTTTGTGTCCCCTATGGGATGAAAAAAAAAAACGTTAAGGAAAAATGTTTGTTTTTTGTAAAAAATAACGTTATACCCAAGCACATACTTCTGAGATTTGAATGATCATGCAACATAATTTAAAGCAGAACTCCATGAAAAATAAGGTTTTCCCATGCAGCAGGACTGGGCCTGCACTGCATGGGCTAACTGCTTGTTTTGCCTAGGGACACACCGAAAGGCTATACTTACCCGATCCTTCAGAAAACCGCACTCCTCCATGTCCAGCGGTCGACTCTTCCTGCCGTCCTTACGTCCAGAGTGTGATGATGTCAGAAACAGTCCATTCACAAGACTGCTAGCATACGGGGACCGGTCTTGCACTTGGAGGATCATTGCATTAGGTACATATCTCTCTGCTCCCCTAGACAAAAAACAAGCAGTTAACCCATGCAGTGTGGGCTTAGTCACCTACCACCGACTCATAGCAGAGTGGGGTGGTGACCTCCACATATAGGAGGGTATACCTCTCTATATCTATAGGTCAATTTCCTGGTGATTGTCATACCAAAGTGGAGGGGGTGGTGTATGTGTATGTATATATATATATATATATATATATATATATATATATATATATATATATATATATATATATATATACACACACACATACAGTGGGGCAAAAAAGCATTTAGACAGCCACAAATTGTGCTAGTTCTCCCACTTAAAAAGATGAGAGAGGCCTGTAATTGGCATCATAGGTAGACCTCAACTATGAGAGACAAAATGAGAAAAAAAATCCAGACAATCACATTGGCTGATTTGGAAATAATTTATTTGCAAATTATGGTGGAAAATAAGTATTTGGTCACCTACAAACAAGCAAGATTTCTGGCTCTCACAGACCTGTACCTTCTTCTTTAAGAGGTTCCTCTGTCCTGCACTCATTACCTGTATCAATGGCACCTGTTTGAACTTGTTATCAGTATAAAAGACACCTGTCCACAACCTCAAACAGTCACACTCCAAACTCCACTATGGTGAAGACCAAAGAGCTGTCGAAGGACATCAGAAACAAAATTGTAGACCTGCACCAGGCTGGGAAGACTGAATCTGCAATAGGCAAGAAACTTGGTGTCAACAAATCAACTGTGGGAGCAATAATTAGAAAATGGAAGACATACAAGACCACTGATAATCCCCCTCGATCTGGGGCTCCACGCAAGATCTCACCCCGTGGGGTCAAAATGATCACAAGAACGGTGAGCAAAAATCCCAGGACCACACGGGGGGACCTAGTGAATGACCTGCAGAGAGCTGGGACCAACGTAACAAAGGCTACCATCAGTAACACACTATGCCGCCAGGGACTCAGATCCTGCAGTGCCAGACGTGTCCCCCTGCTTAAGCCAGTACATGTTCGGGCCCGTCTGAAGTTTGCTAGAGAGCATTTGGATGATCCAGAAGAGCATTGGGAGAATGTCATATGGTCAGATGAGACCAAAATAGAACTGTTTGGTAGAAACACAACTCGTCGTGTTTGGAGGAGAGACAATGCTGAGTTGCATCCAAAGAACACCATACCTACTGTGAAGCATGGGGGGTGGCAACATCATGCTTTGGGGCTGTTTCTCCACAAAGGGACCAGGATGACTGATCCATGTACAGGACAGAATGAATGGAGCCATGTATCGTGAGATTCTGAGTGCAAACCTCCTTCCATCAGCAAGGGCATTGAAGATGAAACGTGGCTGGGTCTTCCAGCATGACAATGATCCCAAAACATACCGCCCGGGCAACGAAGGAGTGGCTTCGTAAGAAGCATTTCAAGGTCCTGGAGTGGCCTAGCCAGTCTCCAGATCTCAACCCCATAGAAAACCTTTGGAGGGAGTTGAAAGTCCGTGTTGCCCAGCGACAGCCCCAAAACATCACTGCTCTAGAGGAGATCTGCATGGAGGAATGGGCCAACATACCAGCAACAGTGTGTGCCAACCTTGTGAAGACTTACAGGAAACGTTTGACCTCTGTCATTGCCAACAAAGGATATATAACAAAGTATTGAGATGAACTTTTGATATTGACCAAATACTTATTTTCCACCATAATTTGCAAATAAATTCTTTCCAAATCAGCCAATGTGATTGTCTAGATTTTTTTTCTCATTTTGTCTCTCATAGTTGAGGTCTACCTATGATGCCAATTACAGGCCTCTCTCATCTTCTTAAGTGGGAGAACTTGCACAATTGGTGGCTGACTAAATACCTTTTTGCCCCACTGTGTGTGTGTGTATATATATATATATATATATATATATATATATATATATATATATATATGTGTGTGTTGCCGCTATAAAAAGCCTGTATAATAATAAATATATATATATATACACATACACAAGTCATTCCCCTATCCCCCCCCCCCCCCGTCATACCAAAGCTGGGGGGGGGGGGGGGTGGTGACCCTGACATATAGGGGAGAGAGAGTATCTCTCTGTCATATATATACATACACACACACGTCAGTTGTTGCCCTCCTCCCCCAGTCATACTGAAGAGCAGGGGAGTGGTGACCTCCACATATAGGGGTGTATCTCTCTCTCTCTCTCTATATATATATATATATATATATATATATACACACACACAGGTCATTCTCCCGCCCCCAAATCATACCAAAGTGGAGGGGGGTGGTGACCTCCACATATAGGAGTGTATATCTCTCTATATCTATATATACAGGTCATTCTCCCGCCCCAAATCATACCAAACTGGAGGGGGGGTGACCTCCACATATAGGGGTGTATTTCTCTCTATATATACAGGTCAGTCTCCCGCCCCCCTAATCATACCAAAGTGGAGGGGGGTGGAGCTCTCCACATACAGGGGTGTATCGCTATGTCTATATATATATATATAGGTCATTCTCCCGCCCCCACCCCCAAATCATACCAAATCGGAGGGGGGTGGAGACCTCCACATATAGGGGGTGTATCTCTATATCTACAGGTCATTCTCCCGCCCACACCCCCAAATCATACCAAAGCGGAGGGGGGTGGTGACCTCCACATACAGGGGTGTATCTCTCTCTATATATACAGGTCATTCTCCCACCCACACCCCCAAATCATACCAAATCGGAGGGGGTTGGTGACCTCCACATATAGGGGTGTATCTCCCTATATCTATATATGCAGGTCATTCTCCTGCCCACACCCCCAAATCATACCAAAACGGAGGGGGGTGGTGACCTCCACATACAGGGGTGTATCTCTCTCTATATCTACAGGTCATTCTCCCGCCCACACCCCCAAATCAACCAAATCGGAGGGGGGTGGTGACCTCCACATACAGGGTGTATCTCCCTATATCTATATATGCAGGTCATTCTCCTGCCCACACCCCCAAATCATACCAAAGCGGAGGGGGGGGTGACCTCCACATACAGGGGTGTATCTCTCTCTATATCTACAGGTCATTCTCCCGCCCACACCCCCAAATCATACCAAATCGGAGGGGGGTGGTGACCTCCACACAACTGCGGCTGTCTATGTCTTGGGAGGTGATCTGGACCTGCTTGGCCTCCTCATCATAGCGGACGTCGATGTTGTCCAGGTCCAGCCCCCGGTGCACATTGCGGTCCACCCCGCTCACCAGTACAAACACTCGGTCGGCGTCGGGGTAGGTGAGGGGATCCTGCGGTCTGACCCGAACATCACAGGGCAGCTTCACCTTCAGGCTGCTCAACGGGTTAACGATCAGAGTCCACTGTTTGAGGGGCTTATTGTGGGCCGCCCCAGTACTCCGGTGTCTGCAGGCTGGCCGCCCACTGACTCCCAATAACCGGCACCAAAGGCGGCTCCCGAGAGACCAGAGACACCATCATCTTTCTGTCCCAGCCATGCAGCCGCTCGTCGCTGTAGTGCGGGGGCCGCCGGGAGTTGTAGTGTGCATAGAGGAGATGTGAGAGGAATGTTCTGGGTGAGGAACTACATTTCCCACAATCCCCGGCTCCGGGTGAGGGCCGTTCTGAGGGCGGCTGTGTTTACTTGGTTCGGTCGTACGTCAGTGGCTGCCCTGTGTACTGAACTGTGTACCCGGGGCTGGGAACAGGTTGTGCTGAAGTCATTCCTCCAGGGTGGAAAAGTGTGCAAAAAAACAACAAGGCCACGTACAGCCTACGGCTGGCTGAAGTCATTAATGGGCTCCACTGAGAAGATATTTGGACAACAATTGTTACTATGGTAATGGCCCGTGTTATGTGCCTTAGAGCGTAATATTCATTCATGACGTTTCACGGGTGGTATCAGTACAGTGGAAGAGCCAGCCCCTAATTTATGAAAGCCTGGTTACTGTTCTGTTAATGGTTATCCATTAGACTGAGGTGGTTCTGGAGCTGCTGTGTGGTAAAGAGTGGGGTATGCAACTCCCCTCTCCTGTCATTGGTTGCTAGGATGCTGTAAAGAGCAAAGTGTCATCGGTTGCTAGGATACTATCAGCAGCACAGCCGACAACGTGTTAGCAACCATTGCACATCTCCTTAACCAGACCATCGGGACACAAAAACTGCTGCCTGCACATACACAAAGCAGCTTCTATAACCTCCCTGTCATGGCCATATACGGGACCATTCTGACAGGTAAAGATCTGATGCTTCCTGATAACAAACTTTGCGTGCCTCCTGCACATTCCTTTGTGACAGTGAGTTTGCCTATCCTAGCGATGGGCCAGTAGAATTCGTAGGGACAAAATTTAGTGGCCAGCTAAAATTTGGATGTTTCGTATCATTACCATCACTTGCGGTTGGGGGCAGTAAAATTGGTGGCTAGGCTGCATTTTAACAACCACCTCCCCTTAAAGCAGAGCTCCACCTAAAAGGGGAAGTTCTGCTTTAAGCCTTTGTCCCCTGCTCCCCATTAAGGATTGGCACCTTTGGGGAGTGGGTACCCAAATTTGACATGTACCCGCTTCCACTTCCATCGCCTAAGCCAGGGGTAGGCAACCTGCAGCTCTCTAGCTGTTGTGGAACTACATTTCCCATGAGGCATTGCAACATTACAAAACTGACAGTTAAAGCTATGACTTGCAGAGGCATGATGGAACTTGTAGTCCTGCAACAGCTGGAGAGCCGCAGGTTACCTAATCCTGGCCTAGGCGATCGGAAGCGGAAGTTTTCCTCCTACCCTCCCTCCCCGTAGTCTTCTGGGACACATAACAGGTCCCAGAAGACTATGGGACCATTCACAAAGCGCAGCGCTTCTTGCAAATGCGCAGTGGGCACCCGGCTGTGAAGCCGCAAACTGTCACAGCCGGGTGCCCACACTGGGGATGCCGACGCCGGGGAGAGAAGACAGCCAGTGAAACCAGCGGTTGACTACAATAACAAATTGAAGTCAAACTCCAGCTAACCCTTTATAATCATAGGAAATAAACAAGCAGAAGGTATAAAGCTGCTAGCATCAAGGTGAACCTCCTACCCTCCGTAAAGTCTTGATAAAATGTGGATGCAGCGCTAAAATTTATACACCTATAAGCGTAAAGGTGAAATCACATGAATCGTCCAAATGTGACGTAAATACAGTAAATGCTATCCAATAATAAATATAGTCATGTGACTATGGTGATGACTATGAAGTCCTTTGAAGTGATAATCCAAATCTGTGAATTCCGTGACTTGAGTGCTAACAGAATGGTAATATGAATGCACTAACCAGAATTGCAATCTTTTTGCGCATTTGTGTAATGGTATAATACGTCATGGTCATCTGGATGTGGACAGGACCAAGGCAATCATCTGGCACACATCAGCATACAAGTAGATTAGTGGATCCTACACACTTTCCAAGGACATCTCCTCATATGTACATGACCAAATGGACAGGGACCCTCAAGGCATCCACCATCTGGCTGAAAACAGCAAATACAAAGATTTCCAAAGACTGCCTCCAGCCTTCCTGACGGCCTCGGTGGCGTGACGTATACAGCTAGGCTCCTCTCAACGCGTTTTGTGCCCGAGCACGTCTTTAAAGGGCCCTTTGATAATGATATGCCCACCTCTTGGAGAGTGTCCTTCACTTGTCTGGATGTTGTGAATGGGTTTTTATTTACCTTAGAGAGGATCCTGCGATCATCTACCGCTGTTGTCTTCCATGGACGTCCATGCCTTTTTATGTTGCTGAGCTCACCAGTACATTCTTCTTTCCTCAGAATGTACCAAACTGTTGATTTGGCCACTTCTAATGTTGCTGCTATTTCTCTGATGGATTTTTTTAGTTTTTGAAGCCTTACAATGACCTTTTTCACTTGCATGGACAGCTCCTTTGAATGCATGATGTACGTTCACAGCAATAGATTCCAAATGCAAATACCACATTGAATTAACTCCAGACCTTTTACCTGCTTAATTGATGAAGAAATAATGAAGTAATCCACACCTGGCCATGAAATAGCTTTTGATCCAATTTGGATGTACATACCCTCAAATTAAACCTGAGAGTGTGCACTTTTAGCCCATATCCATTATATAACTACAGCTTGAATATGTTTTGGTAAATACCTGAAAAAAAACAAAAATTGTGCCTGTGTCCAAATATATATGGACCTAACTGTATATCATTCTCCAAATGATTCTTCCACAGTTTTCACTTCTGGGTATGGGGAGGATTTGACCTCCTCTCATGATGCAGTGTGCTGTTATATGACGGACGGGGGGTGCCACCACTTTGCCTTCTAAGCTCCAACACCTGATGACACCAGGTATTTGGTCTAGGCTGCATGGAAAAGTAGATTTACGTACCCAATCCTCTGTGCTGCTGGGCCAGTCCCCACAGCATCTTTTTCCCCATAATCTAGCATTCTAAGCTCCTGGCATCACTAAGACCGATGCAGGGTCTATAGCCCTGCATTGGACATGAGGATACGAAGGACAGTCCACTGCCAAAGCATGGGGGAGCATCATCTGCCAGCACAGGAGAGGATCGAGTAAGTAAAACTGCTTTTAGGGCTTGTTTACACTTGCAGCAAGGATTGCCGCTCCTCTAAAAAGCAATCCACACTCAGATCGCTTATCAAAGGACTTTCGCAAGTGGTGAGGGGATGAATTGTCGCCTCCTCACCACTTTTTTACCCCCTAAATGCTGCACTACCATGCCGTAGCCACCTGCATTGCATGTGGTTTTAGGGCATTTACAGCATGGCCTCATTCACTTAAATGGGACATAATCATTGGGCTGTAATGAAACAGAATTCAGGCATCAGGAATAAGCAACACAGAGTGCACGGGTCAGTAGGTAGTAATGTGAAGTGCAGGGGTCAGTAGTAAGTAATGCAGAGGGTTAGAAGTAACAGAGTTCAGGAGTCAGTAGTATGCAATGCGGAGTAAGTGCAGGGGTTGGGGTCAGGAGTAAATAATGCAGAGTTCAGTAATATGTAAGGCAGAATGCAGGGGTCATTAGTAGGTAACGCAGACACAGTGGTCAATAGTATGTATCACAGAGTGCATGGGTCAGGAGTACATAATGCAGAGTTCAGTAGTATGTAATGCAGAGTGCAGGGGTCAGTAGTTGTGTTACACTATTTGATTTATTATTATTTCTCTTTGACTATCACTTGTTTATCATTGCTCTGTGTCTTTAAGCTGTCTTCTCCTGTCTAAGCTGAACTTTTTCTCTCACTGTACTTATGTATACCCCTCCCCCCTGCCTCTCTCTGGTAATCATTCCACTGTATTCTGTCTACCTGAATAAAATATATATTCATTGACTTAAACCCAAAAACCCACAATTATAGTGAAAAGATCAAAACCCAAAGAGATTACCCAAAAAATAAAAAATATCAAATATATATAAAAGAACAAAAATAAATAAAGTCCCAATATGCAAAGTGTCCAAATAATGTGTCCAAACAAAGATCAATTTCTTGATAGGAAGACGCTTCCTACTCCACTGAAGAAGATGCAAATCAATCACAGGTGCTCTTCAAATACCTCAAAAAACAAAATCTCAACATAGTATATTACCTTTTAAATCCCAGAACTAAAGTGCCACACGTGTATCATGCAAAAAAAAAACACTCCAGTGTCACAGCACTCATGTGAGAGAAAAAAAAAAAAAAAAAAAAAAAAAAATTTAAATTTTAAATATCACTGCAAACTATATATAAAGTGCATAATTACCCTAAAACAAACAAATTCCAGTTTGTAATCAACCACATATGTACAGAGTGTCCTTAGATTGGTATCCTCTTGTTCCTCAGGACCTCACAAACAGACCAGGAATCAGTATGTGAATTATAATCATATATAAAATTTATTGTAGCCACTTACATATAAAAACGATAAAATCAGCAAGACAGCATCCAACTCCTCATGCCCAGTATGCGATCCCCTTTCCGTGTGTAGAGGGTCTCCCGATCACCAGGTAATTCCCCCTTGCTACTCCTATCCAGCACTATCACTTTGTAGCTCTGGGGGACACCTGAAGTGCACCGTTACTCTCCAGACCTCCAACACACAGGGATTCCAGAATCCAAAATGGCTGCCGCAGCACTTCCGGGAACGTCACGTGCTGAGGTATTTCCGCCAGGTTAGGAGTGGGTACTTAAAGAACTGGAACCTTATGTCCGTATCCTTGTTGACAAAGTCCAGAAGAGACGAAACGCGTCCAGGGCACGTGACGTTCCCGGAAGTGCTGCGGCAGCCATTTTGGATTCTGGAATCCCTGTGTGTTGGAGGTCTGGAGAGTAACGGTGCACTTCAGGTGTCCCCCAGAGCTACAAAGTGATAGTGCTGGATAGGAGTAGCAAGGGGGAATTACCTGGTGATCGGGAGACCCTCTACACACGGAAAGGGGATCGCATACTGGGCATGAGGAGTTGGATGCTGTCTTGCTGATTTTATCGTTTTTATATGTAAGTGGCTACAATAAATTTTATATATGATTATAATTCACATACTGATTCCTG